AGCTTCTCAGTGCTGCGCTTTAACCCACTGCGCCACCAGGCAGAGCCTGAGTCATGTAATTTTCGCAAGAATTAGTGAAGGTAGGCAAAGAAAATGTTAAGTGATAGCTACAATTTTCACGTGGGAAGTTGTCCTGAGGTTTCCTGAGTAAGCAAACAAACGAAGGCGGGAACTAACAGACGGGGTAGCGGGTGTGAGCGGGCTCAGGGCACGAGTACTTCATGCCTCCGGGTTTCGGGTCATTCCACGCCCTTGCGTCCAGGCTGCTCAGTGTGTTGCTGGTTATGGAGGAGTCAGCATCTTCGCTTTGGCGTGGTTTTGCTGGTAGGTTAATTCATTACTAAAAAAGAAATACTTCATTCTATAAATGCATAAAATATAAGAAAGGGCAAAACATTAACGTGAGGAGCATGGTCTGAGGACTAAGAGGATGGAGCGATTCAGGGACTTCGCCACAGTCCTCTGTCCTATCTCCTTCCTCTTACCCGCTGTCTTATATTCCACCGTGCATGTGCACGCCGTTGTTTAAACCTCCCTCCATGGCTATTAACTCTCTGAACCAGGATCACAAAGGGAGATGAAAGATGGTGCTGTGGAGTAAGAGATGCTTTTATGATTGTTCATGAAAACTTCTTCAGAAAAGTCAACCCACGCAAAGGAGAATCGTAACGAGCCAAGCAAGAAGACATTTCATGATCAAAAATTTTGACGAATCCAAATTAGCAACTTTAGAAAATGTTCTAGAATATCAGTTAAGGTTATGGCGTGTGTTCGCTACACTAGTCTGGTAGAACTCTGCCTTGGTGGGTGATCCCCATGACTTGTCTCCCCAGTATCGCAGCCACTCGCTGCCTGTGGCTATTGAGGACTTGAAATATGGTGCAAGGAAGTGAATTTAGAATTGTGCTTAGTTATTTCAGTTTCAGTTTCAGTAGACCTGTAGCTTGTGGCTGCTGTGTGAGCTGTGTTGGATGTTCGGTTCTTTGGAGCTTTGGGTAGTAAATAGGGAGAAATAGATGCACACATTTAATAAGGAGGGCTAGCTATGAGCCAGAGATGAGATTGCACCATGAAACAGAGATGACCAGTCATCCAATTCTGCACACTGAGATTCATTGGTGAAATATCTCTGGTTCATGATAAAACAGACAGAGGCTTCTTCACTTATTTTATCAACTTTGTTACTACCTTGACTCCATGCTCCATATTTCCTGAGAACATTTCTCTAATGTTAAAGACATAGGTGTATTGGTGGGAGAAGATTAAAGATATTGCCAAAGTTGTCGTCGTTAGGGTGAACAGTGGCTTCATAGCTATCCAGTATATTAATTATCATTATATCGTTTACTTCAGAAATAAACAGTGAATAATGGCGCCTGTGCACGGTGTAAAGCTGATACTGTGACACGGATCAGTATGAAGCAATTAATTCAAGTCACCACAATGGGGGTCTATAACCCAAGGACTTAGTGAGGGACATGTAGACAGACGTCCGGCAGTGTGGCTCCTGTCGGCACACTGTCCTCTCATCCGAGGTCCCCAGTTGGGAGTCTGGAGCGTGCTCTCGTCACGGTGGAGGCGTGCGGTCACGGAGGCCAGGCACGCCTGCTTGGGCACAGTCCACGTCACAGCCACTTTGCTCTACTGAGTGAGACACGTGGCCACGCTCACGTGGTGTAGGGAGGGTAGAGAAGGGAGAGAGAATGTTTGCTGGAAAATGAGGTAATCGACCATGTTGAAATGAGGTAACCCAGTGTTGACTTCATGGTGACATGGAGTAGACTCCTCTCCTCCAGATATGCCGGAGCCCATGCCAAGCCCAGAGCCTGAAAGTGCCCGCCACTTGGGCTGTGATCCTTCTTTCAAAGACGCACGAACTGCAGACAGGCCACCTCCCCATGTGGAAATTACACCGAGTTGGGATGGCTCCCAGCTGCAGGTAGAGGAGGCGGGAAGGACAGAGGGTCCACCCCACCGCAGCTCTAGAACCCTGCTGGGTAGGAGGCACGTGGGGTCAGACGGTGGGTCAGGGCAGGTGCTGGCAGAGGTCACTGTTGTTAGTCTTATGTCAGGACATCACCTCAGTGGTGCTTACTGAAGCAATGATGGGCAGCTGTGAACTGATGAAGTCAGCACAAAATGGGTTGTGGCCAGTGGGTCAGAGCCCCGGTTGTGGCCGGGCAGAGAACAGGCCAAGCAAAGCTTGTGTTTAATCCAGTATTTCACTGCAGGGATTCAGGTGGAAATTGAAATTAATACCTTCCACTCTGTTCACACCTGGTTTCTTTTCTACAGAATGAAGGCGTGGAGCCGACTGACCAGTCTACAGTGCAGCAGGGCCTTCTGCGGGTGGGGGCGCCTTACGTAAGTGACCCTCAGACTTCTGGCTCTCGGTGGGTGGTCTGCTCGTGGGTGTGACTGTCCAGAAGAGAAAGAGCCTCACACCCTCGTGACGGCGCCACGAGAGTAGGGCGAGAACCAGGGGTCCCGGTTAATCTGGCACAGCTTGATCCCTGCAGAGATATCAAGGCCGTTTTAGCTACGTCATTTCATTTTAGCATCGTACTATTCCGTTAACTTCATGCCCCTGCTGGCTTAAACACCCCCGTGAAGACCGTGTCTGTGGCTGTGGGCTCAGGCCACGACGACACACGGCTTTTACCAGTGTTCCCCTGCGGGACAAACTGGTGGGTTTGAGCCCTTCTGGTGTCTTTGAGAGACAGCAAGTTAGAAGAAAGGGGCTGAGAGCAGGTAAGAGCAGGCCAGCACCGGGGTCGCTGTGTGGAAAGCCTGTTGAGTTCTCAGTGCATGGTGACAGCGTCTTGATATTTTTGTGGAACATTCGCCTGGGGACCCTTGCATCCCTCACGTGGCTAGTCTGAATGAAGATGAGATTTATGTGGAAGCGCAGTGAATTTAGAAGACTCGGTGTAAGAAAAGGTCAACGATTTCATGAATCCTTTGTCTTGTTTACATGTTGCAGTGATAGTCTTTTAGATACACTTGGCTAAATAGCCTGGATCATTACAGTGGCTTTCACCTTTTCTTTTTAAAAAGGCTAACTTATTTACGCATCCAAGAATTGGGGTGCAGGCCAGAGGTGCAGGGGCAAGAGGATTCACCAGAGACAGAGTGGGGAGCAGAAGAGTCAGATGGACAAAGTCCACTGCTGAGGGGAGCAGCGGGGAGACAGCGGGGGTCGGCTGAGCCCTGTGGTCACTCCCTGGCTGGGGATCGAACTCAGGCCGCAGTGGCTGGGACGTCTTCATAGTGCTGAGACCCACCCCCGTGCCCCCAGGGAGGCCCCTTGTTTCTTTTTACCTTTTAAAAGTAAAGAGACTAACACACCCCAAAGCGTGCAGTGCCTTGGCGTGGGGCAGCCAGCCCTGTTAGGAGCAGTGGAAGTAACACGCAGGACCTTCTCCTCGCAGTTTTCTGGTGCACACATTATTGATTGCGTTAGTGTTATTTTACATTGATTGGGTCAGTCAGTGTAAACTGAAACATGAACGAGAGGAATACTGACAAACCCACATTCAGTATGAAAGTGTAGCAAGATTATTTAAATGATCTTCTATGAAGATCAAAATCTATAAAAGATACATGGTTAATCCCTTTCCGTGGGGTGTGTGGTAACCCCCGTTTCTCATGGGGAGTTGTTGACATGTTAGTGTTTACTTATTTTTTCTTTTTAGAGGAAATCACCTCGAGGGGCCTCCCTGGTGGCCCAGGGCTCAGTCTCAGGCCGTCACCTCTATGGACTGAGTCTGATCCCCACCAGGGATTGACCACGGGCGCAGAAGACCCCCCTGCCCCGTCTTCCCGCTGCTCCCCTTGACAGTGGGTTTCAGTGGATCCGCCTGTCTTGCTCCCCACTCTCTCTCTGGGGAGTCCTCTCACCCCCCCCACCTCAGGTCTACACCCCGGTTCCTCTAGGCAAAAGAAATAATTTAAAAATTAAGAAAATCGCCACATGAACCAAGCGTGCATGACTTAGAGTAAGTGGGAGAGGACCACGTGGCTCAGTGACCGAGGACGCCAGAGCGGGCAGAGGTTGATGCAACTCGGGGCCCTCGCGAGGGCGTCACTCAGCGCTGGGAACGAGGCCGTGTCCGGGCAGGTGACTTCGGGGTTTTAGTTCTCGCTTCTGAGGCCGGGGTGTCGGTTATTCGTCACCATGTCACCACCGCTGGCCTGTCATAGCGCTGGCTTCTGGAACTTCAATGTAAGTAGCCAGTGCATACATTATTAAACAGATATACAAATGAATGAAAAACAAAGGGCCAGGCATGCTCAGTGCTGTGGGCTGTACATCCAAGCAAGCATCGCTGCTGTACCACGAAGCCCTGCAGTTCTTTAAGAGAAGAGTGCTGACATCCATTTCTGAAAGAGGGGAGGTGTTTACATAGATAGCAGTGTTGAAGAGACTCAGTGAGCTTCAGCCAGATGACAAGAATCAGGAGTTTATTAATCTCATTTATTCTTTGATCCACTTCTTTGAAATCCACTCTCTGCTCGTAAAGGAATGACTATGTTATGTCATAGTCAGATCAAAAGGCGTAAATACTGGACAGTGATGAACTTGGGTTGAAAAGCAGAAGTTAGGGTGAGTTTAGCCTTCATTGCAGCACCCACATAAAGAATAGAAAGCCAGCTATAGGCTTTCTATAGTTATAGGTCATAGGTAGATTCATGCTATACGGTTTTAGCTGGGCTGCTAATGTATTTACTCTTCCAAACTTCTAGAAGATAGCTATAGGAATAAACTAATCATGACTAATCAAATTAAATAACAGACCAGCAGCAGATAGATACAGAAGGGCATCGTGAGTGAGCGCTTGTGAAATGCACACAAACAGAGCGTTCACTTTCCTCCCGGTGGTGGGAGGGAGGCCCATTCGGCAAAGATGAAGGCTGATGCTGCGGTTATGGTTGCCCAGGGCTTCCCTGCGTTTCCTCCCGCCGTTCATTTGTCTACCACTGAGAACGATGTGGATTTTGTCATCATTTTCTTTACTATTATTATTATTATTTAAAGATTTATTTATGCACACAGAACTGGGGTACAGGCCAGAGGTGCAGGGGCGGTGAGAGGCTTCACCAGAGACAGAGTGGGGAGCAGGACAGGCAGCTCAGGAAGTCCACTGCTGAGGGGGGCAGGCGAGGTCTGCTGCGCCATGTGGGTCACCATGTGGGTCACCTCCCTGGCCAGGGATCGAACTCATGCTGAAGCCGCTACGGCTGGCTTCATGGTGCTGCACTTTCACCAGCTGCGCCACCGGGGAGGGCCCTCCTGTTACTGTTTTTAAGTGGTGGGTGCCATTGTTTTGCGCCCTCCTTAGCACTTTTGACAATATCAGCCTCCTCCCTCACCCCCAGGCACCCAGCCCTCCACCACACAGTCTGTTTTGCTCTCCCCTTCCCCATTTTTAACGTGTTAAGGAGAAAAAGCACAAGGAAAATGAAAGCAATAAAACAAACAGACATTCCTGGGTCTTCATTCAAAAAGTTTAGAAACTGGCCCTCCCTGGTGGTGCAACGGGTTAGGACACAGCCCTGCAAGCTGGCCGCAGCCGCTTCAGTGCGAGTTCGATCCCCACCCAGGGAGGTGACCCACATGACGACTCGCAGGGCACAGCAGACCCCTCCTGTCTCCCCGCTGCTCCCCTCAGCAGTGCACTTCACTTTCTGCCTGTTCTGCTCCCCACTCTGTCTCTGGTGAGTCCTCTCACTGCCCCTGCACCTCTGGCCTGTACCCCAGCTCTGTATGCATAAATAAGTAAATCTTTAAAAAAAAAAAGAAGAATTTGCTTTTTTTTTTAAAAATTTTTTTTAGAAACTACAGAAAGCCTAGAGAAAGAGCTGATGTGCCTGAGGGGCTTGGCTTCTGCACAGGGAATGCCGCCTGACAGATGCGCAGAGGTGAGGTCGATTGTGGGGAGAGCTGGAGGCTTAGTGCTGGCAGAAAGCAGCCCCGCAGCAGAGGCCAGTGCTACTGTGAGACCCTGTCTTGGTCTGGTGTGACTCGTGCTCTGGGCTACGTAGTTATTCGTCGGTCAGTGGGTGACCAGTAAGCAATGCCTGGACTGGTAGTGAGTGGCTGCACCAACCCTGCGATCGGAGGCCGGTCAGTAAAGACAAACCCCAGCTGTAGTGAGGCATGAGCTGCGGTTGGGGCTGCAGCTTCTTTCTCGTTGCTCTGGTAGTCTTGGGCAGGCTCGGGCTAACTTTCGTTCGTGAATCAGCACAGGAGTAAGGAGAGAAAACCAGTAAACGAGAACATAGGTGTGCGTGAGCAAGGAGGGCAGGCAGCATCGCCGGGAGGCGCAGGAGAGGCCTCACCGGCAGGGGCCAGAGCTGAGGTCGGCAGGTGAGGCGCGCGCCGCGCCGCTCAGGTGTCTTGCGCGCGGACGCGGGCGCAGCGGCACGTGCGGGCTTCGATTGCTGACGTCAGGAAGATACGGGCAAACGTCTGCCGGGAATGTCCAGAGCCCAGGGCCGGCGCGGCCGCGCTGAGCACACGTGACGCAGCCGGTCATTCTCGCTGCCGTCTGGGAAACTCGCTGGCGGGTGTCTGAGGGAATCGAGTCCGCACAGATGCGGCCTTAGGGCTGGTCCAGGGTAGTAGGGCGCGGTGCTGATGGGGCCCCGAGGGGCGGCAGGAAGGGACTGTTTTCACGAGGGCTCCCGGGGGCCAGTGGGGGTGGCGCGTTCTGAAGGCGCTCAGGGCTGACCTCCCGCTGACGTCCTTCGACAGCACGTAGTTTCCTGTAAGAGTGTTGGAGGTCACTTTACATTTGCTTTGGAAAAATGAAAATATAAGCTAATTATTTCTTGAATAAATAAACACGAAAAAACTCATAAGGAAGTGTGAGATGCCCACTGTTGGTGAGAATGTCAAGACCCCAAGGGTCACCTGGGAGCAGGGATCGAACCCGCTCGGAGCGGCTGCAGCCAGCCTGCAGCTCTGCGCTCCAACCCGTTGCGCCACCAGCGAGGGCCTCGCAGTAGTTTCCAAGGAACGGACTGGCCCCACGCATTTGTTTAATTCTCAGT